CCCACATTTCATTTATTATTTTGATTTCCATTCGTACTTTTTGGCTTTTTATCGCATTTCTTTTTTTTTTAGTTCTCGTCTTTCTACTACTTTTCTACTTATTGTCTTATTTCATTTATAGATTCCTAAATCTATTGATACACGTACGAATGTCCAAAGGGTTAGAAATGAACTCTCTTTTGTCCCATAACTTTAGTGACACCTAAGGAAAAAAATTAAGGACTGAGTCTTAGATAACATAGACTTAGTATGCATGCTCCTTTTAGGATAGAGACATCAAAACATAGACTTAGTGACACATTTTCCCAGATTTAATGTGTTGACTTCATTCAAGCAATTTTGTGAATATGAGACATGATTGGAGTTGGAGCTGTTTAAAATTTTAGTTAGCCATGGTTGAAAGAATCTATTGAAATTTAGACCATCAACTCAACATTTTTCATCTTATCCCAACTATTCGGTGTTGGTGCCTCCACCTCCATTATTGATAAGTTGGTTGCAAATAGTTGGGTTAGTCTTTAGTTGGGTTAAGACTAGTGATGATTAGCAGAGGACGCTTAACAAAATTATAGGACTGCTCCAGCTCTAGTCATGTTTCAGATCCACAATCTGTTCAGAATGAAGTGAGCCAGAGTAAGTGCCGCGTCACACATCACCGGCCATTGATGCCTACATTCACCAAATTGCATGCCTTGCCACGTGCAAGTGGGCTTTGTTTGTCTCCACACTAAATCAAACCAGCCTCCACAACGAAGGCTCCAAGAAACTAAGCATGCCCTCATGTTATAATCATCAGCAATATGAAAATGATTACGTTTAAACAAAAATTGAAAAGATTCGATCATCCGAGGCATTTATCTTTAATTTAGAGCACAGCGGAAAATTCAAAATGTTTCATCAGTAATTCATAAAAAACCCCAACTAGTTAAAAAAAGAAAACTGATAAAAGGGAAACTGCTCGAAATTTACCGAGTATGAGCAAGGCATCCGGAAGGGCGCCAAGAATGGGTAAGAAAAGGCCACCGATGATCCCAGGCCCAAGGATTTCGAGCAAAAGCTCACTTCCCCCAGACAAGAAGGTTGCCGCCTTGTACATGAGGAAGCCGTAAGCCAAAACAAGAAATAGGTTCCCCACCACCGTTGTAGTGCACGGGAGAAATCCATAGGTTTGCTCGCAACCTTCCGCAGAAGAAAACCTCGAGGATCTCGTGATTTGCCTTAGAAGCGGAAATGGCGAGTAGCCGGAGTTTCCGCCCGTGTTCACTCCGTCGGAGACGAACAGATCATCCGCCGGTGGAGAGATTAGGCGGCCACCGGAACCTTTCGCGGCGAGGAACAGGAGGATGGGAAGCAATACGAAGAGGCGGAGGAACAGAGGATTAACGCGCGCCGCAGCTTGGATCGCCATTTCCGGCTGGTGGAGCGAGCAGAAAGGACTAATTCTGCGCGGATAATGCACAACTATTAATAGGAACAATTATTACGTCGACGTAGAGTCTTACTCTTTATCGCGTGGCCCCAGGAAGCGGAACCCGAGAAAGAACTGTGATTTTCTCGGTATTTGTTAGGTATTGCTTTCCAAAAATAAGAAATACCGCTCTATGAAGATCAATATCATGCAAATACCGAGTTGTACCGAGTTTTTTACTCGGTACAATTCAGTATGTTTATCTCAGGATTTTACTCGGATGCTAGGGAATTTGTTCGCGTATTGCTAGAAAAAAATTTGCGGTTACAAACTCGGTATTGCTCGGTATTGCCCAGGTATATTGCTCGGTATTGGTTATTGCCGAGCAAAAATGACCAATACCTAGCAATACCGACGCAATCTTGGGTCCCGTCCGGGTCGGGTTGTAGGGGCGCGCGCGTAAATAATAATAAATGTGTGGCGCGATTCTTACGTGGGCCGACGTGAGTTGCGTATGTGACTGGTACCAAAAAAAGTTCCTATTATATAGTGACGCCTTTGAAGGAAACCCTAGGCTGAAACCTGCTCTTCTAATATTGCAACAATATGAACAATTCCACACAAATATTAATTTTCAACATTTTTATTGTTTATAATATTCACAATTTTTAAATCATATAAATCATAATTAATAGTTTAATACTGAATTTTATAAAAATACTCCTTTTAATAGTATTTGTAATTTATTTGTTATACTAAAAAATCATCTAAATAAATTATTTAAATTTAGATATGTAAATAATAAAAATATATTTCTAATTTAATAATTGACCATTTACATAATTTATAATAAAATATATATTTGCAGTGCAATCAATAAGGGTCGTTTTTGCAAATTTTATTTGTTCACATGCAAGTCGGCAAATAATGTATGTACTTTCCTGTACCGGGCCAAAATTGTGATTTGTCGTAGGGCCAGCGGACAGCAGCGTCCGCGTGGACGCGTACTGAGGCCGTGGCGTGTTTATTTGTTACGGTCGAGATCGATCCTTGAATTGAAAGTCCGGGTACTATCCTGAACTTATTGACGGGATGGCAATTTACGTATACAGCGTGAAGGGGTGGTGACTACGAAAGAAAAGCGCCCGGGTCAAGTATTATATTGAAAAAATAATATTGGTTCCTCTATCTTGACTTATTGGGATTTTTTTTTTATTTGGATGAGGACTAGGCTTCATTTTGGATAATTTTTTTTTATAATTTTTTAAAGTAATTTTTTAGTATAAAATTAAATTATTTGTATTAAAAATGATTTTAAAAAATAATAATTAAGTTGTCCCAAATAAAATCTAAAATAGATTATTTTGGCAGAGAGTTTTTTAATTAAATACATATTGTTGTCTCTTTTCTCACCTAATTTTTCCTAGGGGTGCAACATTTGATACGACCTGAAATCCGACCCGGAAATAACCTGATAAATTTCGGGTTCGGTTAACTTATTTGACATACAAATCGGTTCGGGTTTGGTAAGTCGACCAGTTTGAGAAGCGGGTCAGGTTCGGGTTTACCCGTAAACCCGAACGTGAAACGGAATATTACCATGTCGCTTTTCCATCGCATCAGCCGTCAAGGTGTCCGCGCTCATTACTGCATTTAGTCGCCAAGCATTGCGTCAAGTCGTCCATGTCTAGTCACTCAACCATCGCGTCAAATCGTCCACATCAAAGTCATTAGGCCATCGTATCATGCCGTCCACGCTCGACTGCTCGTGATCGCATCTAGTCATGGAACCCACGTAAGTCGCACCGGGAGCTCGCCACATCCGGCCTCTTCGGCAAACTGCAATCCACGCTCGCGTCTGTTATTGGCTCCTCCACGCTTATGTCTACCACCTGCTCACAACCCCTCTAGCGCACATAACTATTTCTGGGTCAAGTTGGGTTGACCTAAACTCAAATTGAGTTGAGTTCGGGTTGGGAAATGTGACCCAAATCCCAAATCAGGTTGGGTCAAAACTTGCCGAGTCAAAATCGAGTTGGACCCAAACCCAACCCATGAACACGAATTGACACTCCTAATTTTTCCAATTATTATATTTGACAAAATCTTCATTGAAATCAAAGAGAATCAAATCAAACCTAACATAAATCGAAAAATCAATGAATTTGTGACTTTTTTTTCTTCAACATTAAAAATTTCTCTCTTATTTGTTTTATGTGTGAATTTGTCAAGCATAACCTTTGTATATTGGTGGGATTTTATTTATTTAAATAATAATTGACAAAGTGGAAGCCATATTATTTTTTAATAACATTTTCTCTCATTTTCTAGAGGAGATTATCAAAGTTAATTGTCATTGGTCAAGATTCTAGAACTTTTGATTCTTTCTGGAACATATCTAAAAAAATGATTGTAGAATAATGATTCACTCTTTAGAAGAAAATGATTATATTTATTTATTTATTTATTTTCATCATAATAATATTTGAAAGGGATAAAAATTATTTTAAAATTTATTTTTTGATGAATGCAATATTTGAATAATTTATTTATGTTTGAGTTT